GCCTCGACGCCAGGCATCAACACCAGGCCCTGTCCGTAAGCTTGTCCTCCACGCCAGGCCTCAACACCAGGCCCTGTCCATAAGCGCGGCCTCGACGCCAGGCCTCAACACCAGGCCCTGTCCATAAGCGCGGCCTCGACGCCAGGCCTCAACACCAGGCACACATCCGTTAGCTTGTCCCCGACACCAGGCCCCGTCCATAAGTGGAATGTGTTTTCCCGATTTGTTTGCATGCTCCAGGTACTGGTGTATTTAATGAACTGCTTCTAATTGGATTTCCCATTCAAGGCACTTAGGAATTCCTGAGGGGGGGGGGGGCTCCAGTTTAGGATAATCTGAGCAGAAGCTGAATCTGGCTGCTCCGACTGACAGCTGAGTCTGAGATCTGTCTCACTCTCCTGACATTGTCTTCCTACTGTTCACCGTTAATTAAAATTATGCCGAGAGTCTATCAGTAAACAAACAGTCCAGGCTGGAAAGTGGGGAAAGTGCCACCTGGGGCTGCAGTGGCATCTCAGGTCAGATGGGGGGCTGTGGGGGGGGGGAATAAAGGCAGACAGAAGCAGTGCTCCCTACATCCCGGATCTTTCCGTGACATTAACGAGCAGGTCAGCCATGCTGGAGATTCAGATCAGTACATAAGGTGAGTCTTCATGCCGGCAAATTCTGGCCCAGGAATGGCTTAATAAACCGACGTCGTCTGATGGCTTCATTTTATCCTCTTTCAAAGAAGACAATGGAGGCAGAGAAAGAGACTGTGAAACAGATGTAAATATTTAAAGGCAGACTGAGGTGGAGGTCCTCTGGGGGGGGCACCTTCTGCAGACCTTACGGACCCCAAGCCAATTAGCCTCTGCCTTGAATCCCGAATGAGGCCACAAGGTAGAGTTCACAGCCAGCTTCATGCTCAGAGCTGCATGACCGGGGCTGCGGACTGCCTCCCTAAATGCAGATGGGGGGGGGCACTCTCTCTCGACGCCCTCTGCAAAGCCCCAACTCTGTCCCTCACTCTGCATGCCCCGCTCACCCCCCCCCCCAGGAGCAATGGCAGGGGGTGTGCCAAACAGGCTTACTGTGTGTCTGAGACATGTGACCTCCCAATTATCGGGTAACAGTATCTGTAGGCACAGCTGCTGGCTGCCTGGCGTAATGGGGCCCCGCAGCACCTGTGGCCGTGGGTGTGGCGCTGCAGGCTTTCCGGACCGTCTGCTAATGTGCCGTCTGTGCTTACAGGGGGAAAGAGGCGAGGACGGCTCCCCCGCTGAGCCCGGCCTGAAGGTAGGCCGTCTCAGTCATGACCTGTCCCACGCAAGCACACCCAGGCCAACATTCACTTAGATGGGAGCTTTGTGGGACGGCGTGTGTGCGCTGAAGCATGCTGGGAAGTGTGCTTTCATATGTAAGGAGGCCGGTCAGGGTTCAAGACGCTCACTGAAACTGACGCTCACTTGGGGAGCTTTGTGGGACGGTTCACGTGCATTGAAGCATGCTGGGAAGCAGGCCTGCATTATGTGCTGTTTTAATATCAACATTGTATGAAATGCAGATGTCACATTGCAAGGACCATGATAGTCAGCTGGGTTGAAACCATCGTTAAATTACAGTAAAACATTTTTACTTTGTCACAGGAAGCAAAACTTAGCAAGGTTTGCAATTTTAATTACGGTTCCTTTCCAAGATTGTAGTATATGTAAAAAAAAAAAAATACAGTCAAAGATTTATCTCTGCTACTTTTGCATGAGCTCTGCATGGTCTCTCTGAGACAACAGTTTTCATCCTTGTTCTTGGACGCACTCACACAGCTTGTGGCGCATTAGTAAGAAATTGAACAAAAATGAGTGAAGAGAAGAAACGTGAACAAGAACTGGCCACCAAAAGACATTTGCCTTCCACTGTATGGAAATATTTGGTGTTCCGCAGAGAGAATATTGAGCATGTCTGAATTTCTGGGCAAAAGCACATACTTGGATGATGTCATTGAAAATGAGTTAGCATGTGGGATGTGATTCCAGAACAATATCCGAGTTCGGTATAACAGAGCCAGAAGACATTCTTAGTCTATCAATTACTTTCTCTCTCTAATGTTGCCGTAATTCATTGGGAACCAAAAATGTTCAGGTGATTTGTCAGCACTGCTTTGTGTCTGTTGGCACAATTCACCACCAATTTATTTAGTAGATAATAACAAGTTCTGTTTGGCTATAGTTTATATTTTCAATTTTTTTTTCATTTTATAAATATTGAAAAATTTAAAATATGCCAATGTGAATTTTTTTGTAATATCATTCAGTCCTAGTGTGATGTGCATTCATATATAAGGAGGCAGGTTTGGGTTCAACTTTGAAACTATTAAAATGCAGAGTGACCTTTACAGCAAGCGCTAGAGGAAGGGGTTTGGTTATAGTTAAGGTTGGGGTTGAAGTTAAGGCGATTGGTTTTGTGCTTATTCTCTGCTGAAGTCACTATCGTACTAGGCGGATTGACACATAAGAATGTGGCATGACTGTTGTTATGTTCACTCGCAGGCTGGGTGATTTGTTTTTTTCTGACTGTCAGATGAGAAATTGCTGGTTAGGATCACTTTCTTCATGAACACCATCATCTGCAACCTGGGAGACATATGTTTCCATACACACAGGACGTGAAAGACTGGCTGTGCCCAGACCAGTAACAGACAGGCGATAACAAATGGATCCGCTGGTCGTTTTTCAAAGGCTGGACATGGAGGATGTGCAGTAGTATTTATGCTGTCAGGAAAACGCTTCACTCAGACTAACTGCGCTCAGCTTGGCTGGTCTGGCATGAAAAATAAGGCTGTTTGTTCCTCGTCCTCATCAGGGTGACCCAGGAGCTCCGGGCGTCCCAGGACTGGATGGAGCTCCAGGTCCAAAGGTGAGACCTACATAGTCGACCAGATTAACCAGCTTCTTATCTGTACTGCATGTGATCTTCTGAAACCCTCCCCCACCCCAGCTTGTCCTGATCTGCATGGTGGAAAATGGTGCATTGTTACTCCCTTTGTTCAGGATGTCGCAGTTGATTTCTGTATGTCAGTGTGTGACTCAGTGGGTTAGAGCGTGTCTGTGTCAAAAGGTCATTGATTCAAATCCCTGGTTGGCAGAGTGATGTCACTGTTACTCCCCTGAGCGACGCCCATTATTCCCAATTGCTGCAGGGACTGGCTGGCTCTGCTTCCTCAATTGTGCATTGCTTTGGACACAAATATCTGCTAAATAAAATATAAGTGTCATTTACAGCCCAAATGCTGTGGGAAGGTGCCGGTTGTTGCTGGGATGCCGGTACGGTTAACAGAGGCTCACCTGACAAGCCTGAGCCGTCTGCAGATTGTTCAAATGAGACCAGGAGCCCAGTCCTCCTCTCAGCCAGTCTGAAAGTGAGGCTCCTGTCATATCTGTCCATGCTTCAGTGAAGATGAGGGCGCGAGATGTTTCTCCTCGAGGGGGGGGGGCGCTCCTCGCTGCTGTTTATTTGCATCCTGTCAATCGATGCAGAATCACAAAGGTGCCACAGCCAGCAGTGGTCACACGAAGCCACCGCTGTATTGCGATCGATCGAACCACTGATGAATGTCCAGGCGGCTTCCCGCGATGATGGTGGAGAAGCATTCTGTCGCTCCTTCATCGCCCGACGGAAAGCGTAGCCAGGGACGGCCGGCCCCAGGCACCCAAGAAGCTTCATATCTGCTTTTTTTCGACAGGGGGAGCCCGGAGAGTGGGGGCTTAATGGTACGGATGGCGATAAGGTGAGGCCCCGTCTGTGTCCCCATAAAAACTGCATGGCCCGACTAACGGATTCATATACCTCTATACATCTTCCGTGAACACCAAGAGCTGTTTCTAGACAAATGTACATCTTTTTAAAACTCCTCCCTCGGGTTTCACCTCACCTTGTGTCTTGCCCAGTCATGGGCTGTAGCTCGTCGTGGCACTCAGTGCCAGCGGTAACACGTTTCACCCCTATAGGATTTTGAGTTGCTGACAGATCCAGATATTTAGCCCGGTAGATCTTATGGGCATCTGTGACACAACAGCGCCTCTGTCCGGCCGCGTCTTTGATCTAATCACGATCAAGCGCCGATTCGCCAGCACCAAGCCAAACAAACATCGATTTACCTCTGATTCTGAGTTTTTATTGGTGGTCAGCAAAAAATTTTGGCATGTGGAAAATCAGGGCTAAAATTGTATAGTGTGAGCTTAGCGTTAGTTATTTTTTATTTTTTTGAGTCCTGTCTGAATTTCCAGGCAAAAGCACACACTTAATTGAAAATGAGGTACGAGTAGCATGTGGGATGTGATTCCAGAACAATATCCGAGTTCAGTATAACAGAGCCAGCAGACATTCATAGTCTATCAATGACTTTCTCTCTCTGATGTTGCCGTGATTCATTGGGAACCCAAAATATTCCCAAACTACTGATTCAGATGATATGGGTCTTTCAGCTCTCCAGCACTGACCATAACCAACTCAAAGCCTCAGTTAGAATGTTTTTCATGTTGAACGTCTACTTTAGGTTTCACCTGTGTCAAGAAATGTATTCATTTGTTCCATTGCTTATTTCAAACTGAAAACACTGGAACTGAAGGGCAAATGATGAATATGTGCCTTGTTAAAATATTGCCCTTTACTTTAAATATAGACCTGAAATGTTCTACAGCAAAATCTGTTTATTAATACATATCAAATCAGTAAACATATATCGATATAATATTGAACTGGGTGGTCATTGGCGATTCCCACCCTACTGTGCAGTGTCACCAGCTGCCAACTGCGATGCCGGCCTGCATCCACTGTCATGGTGGATGATGCGGGATCGATTAGTCGTGTCTAGAGGCCAAGAATTTGGAAACAGCTACAGAGCCCCATCTTTATTTCATCAGTATGTATAAGGGCACAGTTTGCTGCTGCTACCGCATCCTGAGTAATGGCTCTAACGAAAACAAATGGCCTATTTGGGGCGGCGCTTTGCTTGTTTGCTGCTAATGAGCGATTCTACCAGGCTAAAGTGACTGCGACAGTGAGCGTTCAATACTAAAGGTCTTCAGATCCCCTGGATACGTTTCTGGTGAGATAATCTAATTTTAGGTGAAAAATAAAACTCCACTGTATAGCTTTGTTGTGAGTGGTGAATAAGACTTAGAGATGCTGCGTTTTGCTAAAAAAAAACAAAAAAATAACTGAAAGCAAAATGCAAACAAAAGAACGAGAGAAGTGCCTGGACAGGCATGAGAGAGTCAAAGATGAGCCGGGGAACGATCACGGGGTCAAAGCTGAGGATCAGGCAAGAATGAGTAGCCACAGACTGAAGAAGATGCACTGAATGGAGATCATAGACAGTCCCGATTCATGAAAAGTTGTTATTAAAGTCGTCATAAGTCTCACCTTCCATCGACGATCAGGGGAAAACTGCCACCTTTGGCAGTAAAATACTGAGATCGTTATGAGAAACAGCTATTTGGTGGCATCGGTACTGAGTAGGGCTGCGTGATATTGGAAAATTTTAGCTATCAAGATTTTTTGTGATAAATATTGTAGTATTTATAAAACAAAACAGTTAAAAATAAATTCCTCACAGACCCATCTGTGAGTGATTTAAACAAGCAGGATAAAAATTACTGATTGGAGGGCACACACAGAGCTCACACAAAAGCAGCGGACATGAATTTTAAAATGATTTTTAAACATATGATAGATAATGTTGACAAGAAAGAAATCATTAAAATTGCACTAGTTTTGTTTCCTTTGACAGAGTAAAAATGTTTTAACAAAAGTTAACCCCCCCCCCCCCCCTTCTGCGAATCATCCCCAGGACTCCAAAATATTGAAACTGCATTACAAAATAAGGTTGTTTTTGAAAATACGTTTTACTGTGGAATAAAGTCTGGACATTTTGAAGATAAGAAAAAGCCTGATCTCTCCCCAGCTGACAATGGTGGTCCTTGCGATGTGAGGTCTGCATGACCATTACATGCGATGCCGATATTAATATCACATGTCGCCCAGCCCTGTCACTCACTAGCCTTAAATCGGAGTACAGACTTCCCTTGTAGATTAGTCACGGAAGATGAGAACCATGCGAGTTTTTCGTTTGTATCAAGCAGCAAAAATGTGGCATTATGACGTGTTTGATTCAGTTTGCCTTGACATCGCATGTCCATCGCGATGACAGTGCTGGATTGATACTGGATATCGTGCAGCCCTAATACTGAGCAATCGAGGGCAATGCGAGTGTGCCATGCCAGCGTAGAGCCCTAATACTGAGCAATCGAGGGCAATGCGAGTGTGCCATGCCAG